ACGCCCTCCTCCAGCCCTCAAACATTGGTCAAGCAATAGAAGATAGAGAATCCAGAGGAAAATAGAAATAAAAAAAACCAAACGATTCAGCTAAGTTAAAACGGCCCGCTATAATCAGTGTGGCTGTGTTAGCTTGCCACCAGAGTAATGAAGCACCGAAGATGTGCCAGGTGGGGAGGCGCCATCATTTTTAAAAAATATATTTTTATTGATTTCAGAGAGGAAAGGAGAGGGAGGGAGGGAGAGAGGGAGGTTATTGATTTCGGAGACAAAGAGAAAGGGAGAGAGAGAAACATCAATGATGAGAGAATCATTGATCAGATGCCTCCTGCACACCCCACACTGGGGATAGAGCCCACACCCTGGACATGTGCCCTGACTGGGAATCAAACTGTGACCTCCTGGTCCATAGGTTGATGCTCAACCACTGAGCCATGCCAACCAGGCTTATCATTGATGTTTCCATCTCTCTGTCCTTTTCCTTTCCTCTCTGAAATCAGTAAACATATATTTTTAGTTGAGCTCTACATTTCACTTTTTAAAAAATTAATAAACCTTATTTTTTTAGAGTAGTTCTAGATTCATAATAAAATTGAGCAAAAGTGCAGAGAATTCTTATGAACCTCCTGTCCCCACACACATGCAGCTACCGGTTTGGCTCAGTGGATAAAGCGTTGGCCTGCGGACTGAAGGGTCCCAGGTTTGATTCCGGTCAGGGGCGTGTGCCTTGGTTGCGGGCACATCCCCAGTGGGGGTGTGCGGGAGGCAGCTGATCGATGTTTCTAACTCTCTATCCCTCTCCCTTCCTCTCTGTATAAAAATATATTTAAAAAAGAAAAAAAATATTATTTCAAAAGACAACAAAATAAAAATAAACAGATGGGACTATGTCAGGCTAAAGAGCTTTTGCAGGCCCTGGCTGGGTAGCTCAGTTGGTTAGAGCATCATCCTGATGTGCCAATGTTTCAGGTTCTATTCCCAGTCAGGGCACATACACAAATCAACCATGAAAACATAAATAAGTGGAACAACAAATGAATGTTTCCCTTTCTCTCTCTCTCTCCCCTTCTCCCTCCCTCCCTCCATTGCTCTCTTCTCTCTCTAAAATAACAAACAAAGAATCCCCCAAATTTTAAAAAACATTTTTGCACCACAAAGGAAACCATCAACATAACAATAAGGCAACCTACCTCAACGGGAGAAGTTATTTGCAAGTGATATATTGGGGTTAATATCCAAAATATATAAAAAAACTCATAAAGCTCAATATAAAAAGAAACCCAATTAAAAAATGGGAAGAGGATGCCCTAGCTGATTTGGCTCAGTGGATAGAGCGTCAGCCTGTGGACTGAGGGGTCCTGGATTCGATTCCAGTCAAGAGCACATGACCAGGTTGCGGCTCGATCCCAGTAGGGGCTGTGCAGGAGGCAGCCTATCAGTGATAATCTCTTATCATTAATGTTTCTATCTCTCTCTCTCCCTTCCTCTCTGAAATCAATAAAAATATATTTTAAAATAAAATAAAAATGGGAAGAGGACCTGAATAGATATTTCTCCAAAAATGACATCCAGCCAAAACCGGTTTGGCTCAGTGGATAGAGTGTCGGCGCGCGGACTGAAGGGTCCCGGGTTCGATTGCGGTCAAGGGAATGTACCTTGGTTACGGGCCCTGCCTCTGCCACCGCCACTGGTCGCCTCCCTCTGCGGGGCGACCAGTGGGGCTATCGGGGGGCCTCCACTTGCACCCCCCTGTGGGATCAGGCCTAAACTGGCAGTTGGTCATCCCCCAAGGGGTCCGGATTGAGAGAGGGTGCAGGCCACCAGGCTGAGGGACCCCTCTCCCCATGCATGAATTTCATGCACTGGGCCTCTAGTATATATATATATTTTTTTTTTTTTAAAAAAAAGACATCCAGATAGCCTGAATAGACACATGAAAAGATGCTCAGTGTCACTAATAAGGGAAATGCAAATCAAAACCACAGTGAGATATCACCTCACATCTGTCAGAATGGCTCTTATCAATAAGTCAACAAACAAGTGTTGGACGATATGGAGAAAAGGGAACTCGCATGCACTGTTGGGATTATAATTTGTACAACCACTATGGAAACATGGAGATTCCTCAAAAAATTAAAAACAGAACTACCATATGACCCTGCAATTCCACTTCTGGGTATTTAGCCAAAGAAATTGAAAACACTTATTTGAAAAGATATAGCACCCTATGTTCATTGTAGAATTATTTACAGTAGCCAAGATATGGAATCAACATAGGTGTTCATCAATAGACAAATAGATAAAAAAAGATATTTTATACACACACACACACACACACACACACACACACACACACACACTGGAATATGACTCAGCCATAAAAAGAACGAAATGGTGCTGTTTCCAACAGGGATTGACCGAGGGTGTTACGCTAAGTGAAATAAATCAGACAGAGAAAGACAAATCCCATATAATATGTGGAATCTAAAAAACAAAACAGGAGCAAACTCACAGATACTGAGAACAGTTTGATGGTTGCCAGATGGGAGTGAGGCTGGGTAAAAAGGTGAAAGGGATAAGAAGTGCAGGTTGCCAATTACAGAAATAGTCATGGGGATGTAAAATACAACATAGGGAGTATAGTTCATAATATTGCAGCTACTATGAAAGATGCCAGGGGGGTACTAGACTTATTGTGGTGAACACTTCATAAGGTATACAAATGTATATCGTAACTTGAAACTAATA